CCACATAGGCACACTTACCTATATGCAGGAATTACACTCATACACATAAAATATAAAATACTTTAAAAAATAAAAATGAATTGTGGACACCCACAGACGATACAGCAGGAGGGTGGGCTTTGATGGCATGTTATATTAGTTTAAGCTTCTGTAACAAAATACCATAGGCTGGGTGGCTTAAACAACAGAAATTTATTCCTTATAGTTCTGGAGACTGGGAAGTCATGGATGAAGGGCTGCGGCAAGGGCCAGTTTCTGCTGAGGAGTCTTCCCCTGGACCTGAAGTGGTTGCCTCCTTTTACCTCATGTAACTTTTCCTTTGTGTTTGTGTTTGTGCACCTGGTGTGGGGAGGATAGGAAGGAGAGAGATGGAGTTTGAGATTCTTCTATGAAGCTACCAAACCTAGTGGGTTAGGACCGTGTTTTACTTTGCCTTTTAAAAAGCCCGTTTTACCTTATTTACTGCATAAAAATCCAAATGCAGTCATGTTTAGAGGTTTGGGCATTAGCACATGAATCTGGATAGGATATTATTTGGTCTGGGGTATTTGTGAACATCTCTTTTCAGTTTGGTCAGGTTGTGCTTCACGTTTTAGTTACATTGTTTGGTGCAAACACATTTCATCTAACTATAATCTTCATTCAGTGGCTTTATACCATTTGGTATTTATCATGTATATGTGCATACCACAGTGTGTGGCAGAGAACAACTTGCAGGAGTTGGTTCTTTCCTGCATGTGGATTCCAGGGCCTGAACTCAGGTGGCAAGCACTCTAACCCACTGAACTATCAGCCCCCACTTTTTCTTTCCATTTTCTTACTTTCAGTCTGCCTATCTTGTTATTTGAAGTGAGTTTCTTGTGGACATTATATGGTAGATATCCATCCATCCATCCTCCATCCATCAATCCATCCTCCATCCATCCATCCATCCATCCATCCTTCCTCCACCCACCCATCCATCCACCCATCCAAACCTGTATTTGTGGTATGGAAGACCTAATCCAGGACCTTGTGCATGCAAGGCAAATGCTTTTCCACTGATTTACACTACCTAGCTCTACATCAGATTTTAAAATCTAGTCTGCTAATCTTGTTTTCCTTTCTTCCCTCTCTCTCTCTCTGCTGTTTTAAAAACAGAATATCACTATATTACCAGTCTCTTATAGCTCAGGCTGGCCTTGAACTTGCTTTGTAGCTGAGGACGACCTCAAACTCCTGATCTTTTCACTTCTATCTCCCGAGTTCTGCGTGCACATGTGCAACACCATGCCTGGTTTGCCAATCTCTCTTAACTGCTATTTTAAAATAATTTATTATTACTATTATAGTTTAGATATAAAGTATCCCCCAGAAGGTTCATGTATGAAGGCTTGGTCCACAGCTTGTGAAATTTGATCAAGTCATTGAGAAGCAGCGAGATTATGAGGGCGCTGACCTAACCAATGGATTAACTCACTGAAGGATTGATAATTTGATGGCTTTATTGGGAGGGGCTGGAGATGTTTGTAGGTGAGGCCTAGCTGTAAGAATATCTGTCCTCAGGATTACACCTTGCCCAGCTCCACCTTCTCTCTGCTTCCTGGCTGCCATAAAGTAAGCAACTCGCTATTCCACATCCCTTTGCCCTGATGTACTGTCTCACCACATGCCCAGAAGTAGGGGAGCCTGCCAGGATGGCCTGAAACTTTGGAAATTCGAAGCCAAAACAAACTTTCCTTCAGTTATCCTTTCTCAGGTATCTGTCAGCAGTGAAAGGCGGGTTGATGAGTAGTCACTATGTCAGCATAAGGCTGTCACTTTCTAGTTGCTCCCCCCCCTCGTTTTCCTTAGTTATTTTGACTGTAGATGGAATCTTGCTGTTGTCCAGTCTAGCGTGAACTTGTGATCTTCCCAAGTACTGGGGTTTATAGGTATGTACCACCACACCCAGCATGTAGCCATGTTTTAAACCATTTTGATGTACCTGCAGTGTGCTCTTTCCGTACCTGTTTGGTGGCTTTGTATTTTGTAGAAACCTTGTCACGGGTGACTGGTGTCCTCATTCACCAGTTCAAGTAACAGTTTCCTTTACCACTGCCATTTAAAATGTAATTTTCTTGGGCTGGTAAGATGACTTAGAGGGTAAAGGTGCTTGCCCCCAAGCCCAATGACCTGCGTTCAAGTCGCAGGACCCACATGATAAAAAGTGAGAACCAGGTCTTGTGTGTGCCCAAACCCATACACAAAATTTCTTTCATGTCTATTCAGAATCATGTTACTCTAATAACTTTTGCTGCAGTCATTAACACAGAGTTCAGAACAAAGCTGTTTTGCTTACATATTCATTCTTCCCGATGGTCTGAGGTTTCTGATTGGCTAACTTTTCCACTGGTTTTTAAGAGTAGATCTTCTGGTGACACAATTCCTCTATCCCCGCCACCCCCCCCACACAAAAATGTCTTGATTTTCCTTCATTCCCGAAGAACATTTTAGTATTTTTGCTGAGGTAGGATTCCAGATTTGTCAGCTGCTAAAAAACACAAGTACTTTTGACTTCTTCCTTCCTCTTTCCTTCTCCTCCCTCCCATCTGAGATAGGGTCTCACTGTACTTCAGGCCAAAGTGACCAGAGTGACCTCAAACTCATGGCTCTCTTCCTGCCTCAGCCTTCCAAGTGCTGGGAGTACAGGGCATGCGCCACATACCCACATCCAGCTTGGCGGGCCTCCGTGTTTTCTGGGGTCAAATCGCCTTTCCTGTATTGGTAAGGTGTTTTTTTTGTTTTTTTTTAAAATTTGTTTTGTTTTGAAAAAGGTCTTGCTGGCTTCAGGAATTTGTCTGTTTCTTCAGAAACTCGACTACGGTGTGCTGGTGTCTTGGCGCTTATCGGGGTCCAGGCTTGTTCGGCTTTTATGAATAGGTGTCTGCCTCTTGCCAAAATTGGGTTTTTCTTTTTAAAAATTTGTTTTATGAGTGTTTTTCTTGCATGTATGTCAGTGCATCATGTGTGTGCAGTACCCAAAGGTCAGAAGGGGGTTTTGGAACTGGAATTATGGATGGTGGTTAGCTGCCATGTGAGTCGTGGGAACTGATCCCAAGTCCTCTGCTACCAAGCCACCTCTCCAGCCCCTCCCCCTTTTTTTCCTTTTTGAAATAGGGTCTCACATAAGTCTAGGTTGGTCTGCAACTTGCCATTGCAGCCAAGCTGGAATTAAGCACATTACCACACATGGCTGACAAGTGACTTGTCTATTGAAATTTGAACAACTTCATCTTATTTAAACCTGTTAGAACAGATGTTGTTGGACATTTCTCTTCAAGGGAAAGAACATGGCTTCCTTACTGCCTGGTTTGGCAGAAATCCTGGTTCCCCACCTGGTCTCTGCTGACACTTGAGGTGTATGGCTCCTCTTCACTGCTGGGTGGGAGCACTGGTCCATCCATGGTGAAGGGCCCGACTCTGCAACAGGTTCCTCTTATCCACAACAGAGGGACTGCTGGGGCATCTTGTCATAGCCAAGTGCGCAGCCAGGCTCCCTACTGCGGGGTCCTTGAAGTGGCTGGTAAAGTGGAGTAGACATGACCAAATTTGTAGCCTTTCGTGGCTGCCCCTTCATGGTCCTGTGGCTAGAGAAGCTTGTTTGGCTTGTGTTGCTTAGTATTTCCACCCATGGTTTAAATTGTACTGAGTGGGAAGAAGAGAGACAGACATCCAGGGGGGCTGGAGAGCTGTCTCAGGGGTTAAGAGCGCTGGCTGCTCTTGCAGAAGACCCAAGTTCAATTCCCAACACCCACATGGCAGCTAACAACCTTTTGTAACTCCAGTTCCAGGTGAATTCAGGGTCCTCTTCTGTCCTCCACAGGCATTGCATGACACGGGTGCATTTACATACATGCAGGCAACACACCCATACACATAAAGTAAAAATAAAGTATTTTTAAAAAGGGACACCCAGGAAGCAGATGTTCTGGTGTACTTACCTGTGAGTGCTATTATCAATTTTTTTTTTTTTTTGTCTTTTGTCTTTCTGAGACAGCGTCTCCCTGTAGTCCCAGCTGTCCTAGAACTCACTATGTAGACCAGGCTGGCCTCGAACTCACGAAGATCCACCTGCCTCTGCCTCCTGAGTGCTGGGATTAAAGGCGTGTGCCACCATGCCTGGCATCAAGTTATCTTTTAATCTGTTTCTATTTGTTATTGGTTACATTTTGCCATGCAGAAATTTTGGGGGTTTATATATAGCTGAATACTTAAAAATGTATTCGGAGGAGCTGGAGAGATGGTTTATTGATTCTCTTGGAAAGGATCTGACACCCTCTTCTGACCGCCACAGGCACTGTAAGCATGTGGTACACTTACATGCAGGCAAAACTCATAAAATTTTTAAAATGTATTTAGCGTTTTACAACATGCTTGGAAAGGCTTTTCATACCAAGGTTTTGCAATCAAGGGCTTTAGGTCACTGGCTAGCTAGCTGTGCATGTCTAACACTTGACCCCCACAATTGAGCTGCGGGGATTATACTCTGTCATGGTTTTGAGATTCCCCCACGTTCTGGTACAGAGATGTTTGGTGAAGGGCCATGGGCTGATGTGCCCGGTACAGGGTGCAGAGACCCATCTGTGACCATGCAACCCTTCTCTATGTTAATCAGATGTTCCTCATCTGAAGGAAAAAAGTGGGGGCCCTGCTACACACTGGGGTGTCTCTTATGGGGCAGACTTGGTGTGGCAGTCTGCCTAAGAAGGCCATACACGATGCTCCACCCGAGCTGTGCTGGCACCCAGCCTGCGTCCGCACTCACACTGGAAAACAAACTTCCTAGTTCAGGGATGCCAAAAAATAAGGCTGGTTTCCATTGCTTATTTATTAATTCGGTCTGTTCTAAGTTGTACAGTTATGAAAATAACAAAACCAAAGCTGGAAGCCCAGGAACAGTTACACTCTTGTGTAGTGAGGTCAGTCTATGTTGCACAGGTTGGTTATGTTTGGTACCACAAAATGTAATTCCGACAAAATCAGATTAACAATTTTATGTACAGTAAAACAAAAGGGGAAGTCATTCAAGTATCAAAATACAGAGACAAAGATTAAATAACATTTTTCTTACAGTTCCATCCCACTGCCCACCATGAGCAACTCATGTGAACTGCACTGTGCAGGCCTGGGTATCTCAAAAGGCTGTGTTCAGACTAGTTTCTAACGTGTTGACAACTGCAACCATGTGTTCTGCGTGCACAAGCCAAGGCTTCTCAATAACGTCCCAACAGTCACCTCAGATGCAGAGCCTGCAGGAGTGGGGCATCTTGTCCGGAGCAGCTGCCTAGTGAGAGGCAAGTGGGAGCTTGAGGAGCTGCAGTGAGGGCTCGGAGTACACCTTGCGACTCCCATCTGAACGCTCCTTCATAGTTCAGGCACGGCGTCAGATCGCCCCAGGAACAACTAGCACTCAGGAGTGCAGCGCCCAAGCCCTTCCACTTGAATCCTGTCCTGATCTAGTCTTCTCTAAGGAAGGGAGAGACCGCCCCAAGGAAGAGTAGAGGAGGAAGGTCTAGTCACTTGGGTTTCTTGACTATTCAGAAACCAATCTCAAAGACCCAGAGCAGACAAGCCAAGACTTCCAATGTGAAAACACCCTGAATAAATAAGGACATAGCAGCGTCATGGGGAAGAAATGCCTGCGTGGGATTTAAAAGCAGTACAGCTTGAGCTCTTCGTAGTGTCTAGTTTTCCCATTAGGCTTTGTGCCTGCCAGCAGAGCCGGGGAGCAGGAAGGAGTGCAGCACAACTGACCTAGGAGCCATAGGTCTCTCTGGATCACTGCAAGGTGTGACTGAGAGGGAGGCACGAAAACTAAGGGACATCTCCAGTACCCAGCAGTGGAGGACAACTGCCCCTTTCCAAATGGGCTGCTGCATGCCCAGCAGACAGGAAGTCCATAACCTAGAAAATACAGCCCTGTTTTCTAGTCAGACACAGGTGAAAATGCCCAGGAGCTCTGCACATCCCCAAGCCTGGAGAATGACCACTACCCATTTTTTAAAAGCAAAGGAAGCCAGTAGCAGGGCTTAACCAACAGTGTGCCAGCCTCCCAGCCTGTCCTCAAGACTGGGGGAATTGGACTGCCAACTGATCTAGCGTTTCCCACACCTGGAGCTAGAACTGTAGCCAGCAATAGTCAAAAATTGGCAGTTCCGAGACTCAGACCTGACTAGACAAGTCACAGCTGGCACGTTACAATCTTAGCTCATCTACCCATTAATGCCTCAAACAAAGCTGCTGCTCCTGATTGGGCTGTGGCAGGCTGGCAGCAGGCAGTGCTCTGGTTACTAACAGGCGAGCTACAGAGGAGTTCCCCGCACCAGAAACTACTTGTTCATCCCATTGGGCCACTGGACCTTTCTATTTGGAACACCAGAATCGGACCACAAGTCTCTGCAGTCCTGTCCTAAGGAGCCTCCTAGCCAGCTCTAGACAAGTATTTGGGAGTAAAAGACCATGAAACAGACTCCACCCTGAGGACAGAGGGCTGCAGATGGTGTTCTGGCTAATCAGAGCACCTCCATCCTCTCAGTTCATGGCCATTTGTTTAAAGATTGGCAGTTTTGCTGAGAGGCTGGAGCCAAGTGTTAAAATTTCATTTTTTAAAAAAGTTTTTTTCTTTCCCCTATTAAAAACATGTGTCTGGGCAGGTCACTTCTGGGGCCTTCCAGAGTTCCAGTCTCATTGGCTAGAGGCCTAAGACGTCGTCGCTGCAGCCAGGGCACGGCTTGCTCTGCAGGACCTGGTGGTGGTAGGCCCAGACCAAGCAGCCGAGAGGAGGTCCTATGGGCCGGGCCTGGGTCTTCGGAGCTGCAGTAGAGGCTCGCTGCTTGGGGGGGAGGGCAGGAGCCTGTGCACCCCACGGCTATGTTTCCGCAGCACAGTGTGGTTCCGCAGTGGCTCAGCTTGGCAGAAGCAAACAATGGGGAGGAAAGAGTTAACCAAAGGGTCTGGACCAGGTGGAGGACACGGAAAGGACACACAGCAGCAGAACACCAGTCCCTCAGCCTCCCAGGGTGCCCTCCATGGCCACATGCCCACTGCTGATTCTGGCCCACGGCAGGGGGTTAGTTGCCCTGGTGGTCTCTCCACCATGCTACGTGCTGCATTTGCACCAGATGCTACGGAATTGCTTCCTTCCTGTCTCCTGCCACCTAGACTGATCTTCCCAGAGTAGGGAATACGGAGCTTCCTCCAAGAAAGACTCAGCTCCGTGAAGCCAGCTGCCGGTGGCTGTGAGGAGAGACAGCTGGTGCTCCCCTCAGAGGACTGAGAGCTGAGGGAGGGTACAGGGGATGGCTGGATGATGGCCATTTCGGATCCCCACACCGCGGACAGGTAGCAGAATGCTCTGAGGCCACAGTCTATGCCCCTGTGCTCTGGAGGCTCCACTCTGAGAAAGTGCACTTGTGTGCAGGGTCCTACAGGAAGGGTTTCCTCGGTGATCTGCACTCCACGGAGTCAGGCCCATGCCACAGAAAAGAGGAGTCAATTGCATAGAGGCCCCCCTACCCCTCCCAGAAGCCAGCTGTTCAAAGATTCATAGATCCCCATTCAGGGCTGACATCTGCCTGAATGTCAGCTCATCTGTCCCAAGCCAGGTCACATTACTGAGCTCAGGTTTTCACAGGGGCCTAACCAAGAGACTGAGACCAGCACCTTAGAGTAGCAGCAGGGCTGTAGGCCAGCTGTGTGGAGGGCATTCTGGCACTGGGTGGTCACAGTGGTTGGGTGGGTCAGGTGAAAACTGGCAGCTATGGGCACCCACCTGTGACCCAGGACAGGAGTGGGCAGCTGACAGCACCACCACGGAGGGAGCTACTGTGGTGTCATGTGGAGTCCACTGGAAGACTACCCCTCCCTCCGCTCACAGTGCCTGTTGCAGAGGCTCTGGGGGCTGCAGAGTCCGTCTTAGTGCCCATGAGGTTGCCTTCAAAGGCAGGTCACCCCCCAGCTGTCCTCAGCCCCAGGGCAGACTTCACAGTGGTGGGTGGTATTATACAAGAGCTGTGAGCGGAGGAGGGTCTAGAGCTGCTGCCAGGAGAGGGCAGGTCCCTGGAGAGGTGGGGCCAGGGTGGTGACAGCTGGAAGGAGAGTTGAGACAGCAGAGAGATGGCAAAGGCACAGTGGGACCCGCGGAGACAAGGGTGGCTGTTTAGAAGATAGTGGTCTCATACTTGGTGCTGAGGCTCCGCTTAGAGTCTGGCTTTGGGTCTACAATCCAGGAAACACTGGCGTGGGATGGGGCCTCCTGGTCTGTATCAGGTGGTTCCAGCTGCCAAACAAGAGACAGGGTGAACATTAAGACTGGGACTCTGTACCAGGAACTCCCTGGGGATCTTGGGGATGGACACTTCCAAGAGATTTCTTGGGGACTGATCAGGTAAAGGAACTTTGCCCCAGTCTGGTCAGGGTAGGCAGGAAGGGGATATGGAGCTTGGCAACTCCATCCCTTGGGTCCCTTCAGCGGGTAGAGAGCTTGGCCTGCGGCAAGACCACAGCCAACATCCCAGACTTTGCACAGGACACATGACACAGACAGGGCAGAGCACACAGGGAGAACATCTCCGGACAGGAGAAAAGAATGTCACGCAAGCAGAGAAGAGGCCACCAGAGTATGAGCAAGCTCACGATCCCTTCAGGGAGACTGAGACACAAGACAGCAGGAGGCGCAAGGACCTTGACTCCAGGACTAACGGACGGCAGCGGTAGGTAGGAAGGACGGTGTGTGGTGCAGGAGTGACAGTGACAACAGCGACTACCAAGGGGCAGCGGCACCTGGGGTGCGGAGCAGAGCAGAGCAGACACAGGGATGTCACTGGGCGCTCGCTGCAGCCACCTTCAGCAGCCCCATGATGACCTTTCCTGGGTTGGACTGGCCGGGGAGGAGAGGTGGAAATCCACTGGCAGAGGACCCCCCACCCCCCATATGAGCTCAGCCCTTTAAGGGTGGGAACCAGCTGCCTGGAGGAGTGAGAGGGCACTTGACGTGCCCAGCTCGACCGCCAGCCCTGGCAATCTAGGGGCTGGGGAGCCTTGGTGACTAGGCCCACGTACCGCAGACTTCCTCACGGCAACCCGAGGCTTAGGCACGGGTTTGGAAGACTTTGTTTCAATCATCGCAGTAGAGGCCCCCATGGTCCTGGACTTCTGGGCCTGCAGGGCTAGCTGATAGGCCACCTCAAACGCTTGCCCCAGGGTCAGGATGATCTCGTAGGTCAGGTTCTGGGAGGAAGCAGATCACCGTGTGAGCAGAGGGCCTCTGGGAGCTCTGCTCCCTTTCTCTAACAACTGCCACATCTTCCAGAGAACTAGGGAACTAAAATTTGTTTCAAAGCCAGCGGAGTATGTCCTTAGAGAACAATTTAAGCAGACCACATTGTTTCTTTAAGCATAATTCTGACAAACACTGGGGGAACGATGGCTCAAGAAAAGACGCCAAAGGCACCTGGCGCATCATTTTCTTTACAAGGTCCGTGTGTCTGGGTTGCTGTTCTGTCAAGGTGGTGGGTGCCAGACTGATGACTCGTTTATGAGCCAACTAACCAAGTCTTTTTCAAAGGTGGAGCATTAAGGATACTAACGATTTCAGATGAGTAACCAAGTGTCACACTGCTCCAACCCCATTTGCCTATAAACCTCGTGGTCTACTGTGACTTACACAGCATGGTGAATTTTAAGGGCACTGCTTTTTCACAGACTATGGACTATGGGAGTTGGCGGTAAGGAGTGGTGAGTGGATAATCCTGCTTTTCAGTGCAGCTCCAGGAGGGGAAACATGGTGCAAAGCTGGCCATCTTATGCCAAAGCCCTGGCTCCTAACCCTCTTGGCTGTAAGCTAGCAGAAGGACAGCGTCTGTAAGCTACAGTCTGTGTTGAGGGAGCCATAGAATCTGAACACCTGAGACTTCCTACTGGGGTGAGAAGGTGGCAACAGGACCAGGGACAGCAAGAACCCCTGTCTTGCAGACTGCCAGCTCCCATTGAGGCTGCACAGTGTGAGAAGGAGCAGAGACTCCTTGGCCCTACAGCATCAAGCCCAGCCAGAACAAAAGGATGCAGAAGGCACTAGATGTAGGCCGTCACTGGCAGCTGGGGAAGCTGGAGCAGTGGGTTGACAAGCCACCTAGGAGAGAGAGGACTTACCTGACCCAAGAAACATCTGGCTGGAAAACCAAGGTGTCACTAACACCCTGGCCCAGTGTGGCTTCCCTCTGGGCTTGTGTGTCATAGCCGTTTGAAAGGGACTGCACTAGACACTGCTGGGCCTTCATTCTAAGCGAGGCCAAGCCAGCCAGGGCCTTGGTGACTCTGCCCACTTGGACAGGGCAGGGGCAAGGCGTAGCCCATTCTTGTCACAGGACACTTACCACATCCACTGTGCTGAAAACGTGGCAGTAATGGTGGCTGGTCTGCAGGTCCTTGGTGATATAGGCAAAGGTGCACAGGTCCTCAGGGTCCTGGGCCGCACAGGAAATGTTCCGGATCTCATGTTCCGCAATGACATTCTGCTGGGGAAAGTGTGTGCTGGAACTCATGGCCCCTCAGGGCAGTCCTCAAACATCACCACCCTAACCTTTTACCAGCCTGCCACACTAGCAAAACCCAGTTTCCTCAGAGGGAGTGAGGGACTGTGTCTATGCTTGTTCCGTTAGGTTCAAGGGCTCCATTCATGAGCAGGTTAACAGGCGGCAAGACAGTCACAGCCACTACAAGCTCTGTCTTGCGCCTGCCAGAGATGGCATAAGCTGGGAAGGGTATCAGGAAGGTGGAAACCAAGCAGTGTGTGCGTGAGGGGGTTCTGCTCACTGAAGGAGACACACCCTTGAAGGCCAGTGAGCATGGAAGCCAATGGTACTCATGCTGAGGAAGAGAAAATCACCTGTTGCTAGAGCCAGGACGGAACTAGAACTCCAGGGCACAGGTATGTGAGCAGATGACAGGAACCTGGTGAGGTGGTTAAAGTGGGAAATGACAAGAAAGGCTGGGGCTGGCACTGGAGTTGGGGGAAATCTGTGAGATGGGCTCCGCCCCCACTGTCAGAGTTTGGATAGAAGTGTTCCAAATGGCTCATACACTGAAGGTTGGGTCCCCTCTGGTGGTATTATTTGGGAGGTGCTGGAACTTTTAGGAGGAGGGGCCTAGCTGGAGGAAGTGGTCAGAATGCAGGTTATACCTGGTCCCTTTCTGCATCCTCCAACACGTGCTCCCACCTCAGGCACAAACAGAACTAAGGGACCATGGAAAATGTCAGCACCACAAGCAAATCCTCTTTAAACTGATTCTCAGATACTTGGTCATGGAAATGACAAAGCAACACAGAAAACTGGTTTAAAAAAGGGGCCATTGGGGCTGGAGAGACAGCTCAGCAGTTAAGAGCACTGGCTGCTCTTGTGGAGGACCTGGGTTTGGTTCCCAATACCCACACTGTGGCTAACAACCATCCATAATTCCAGTTCCAGGGGATTCAAACGCCCTCTTCTGACCTCTGTGGGCATTGCACGGCATGAGCGCATTTCTACTCATGCAGGCAACACACTCATACATGTAAAAAAAAAAAAAAAAAGTGGCATCACTGCCATGATTAACCTGACCATGTGGTTCTTAAGCCTTTGGAAGAGGTTGGTGGAGGAATTTGAAGTTTGGAGGGAAAAAAAAAAAAAAAGCTTAGCAAGCTCTAAGAGTTGAATGGGAAATTCTGGTGGGCCCTCAGAAGACAGAAAGTGACAGTGCAGGACAGTGAAGACTGCTTGTGAGCTTTCAGAGCTGAATGCGGACTCTATTGGGAACTGGACATGTTACACTGTAATACAGAACTTGGCTAAATTTGTCCACATCCGGAGACTGAGAGACTGGGTTTAAAGGTGACAAGTCGGGGCTGGAGAGACAGCTCAGTGGTTAAGAGCATGGACTGCTCTTGCAGAGGACCTGGATTCAGTTCCCATCGAACTGAACTAGATATGGTGGCCATCCATAACTTGAGTTCCATGGGCTCAGATACCCTCTTCTGACCTCTATGGGCATTGCATGACATAGGTGCACTTACATACATGCAAACAATACACTCATACACATAAAAATATTAACTAAAACAAGGTGACAGGCTCATTAATCTGGGGCAAGGACACTGCAATGCTCTGCGGTCAGGGAGTGGCGTGGTCCTGCTGACTGTTCTTAGCCAGGCTTATAGGCAACATTAAGAGCAAAAAAGTAGAAAGATTTGAAAAAACATGCAGTTTGGTCAGAAAAACCCATACAGAGTTGGGCCTAAGGAAGATGTGTTTTTAGAGAGTAGTGCCATTAAAAAGCCAAGTGATTTGCATTGAAACAACAGGAAAATGCCTTGAAGACATTTAGGAATTGGCCAGACCCCACTCATGATGAGTTCAAAGGCATGAATAAGTAATAAGCTCATCTGGAAGACCTTTCCTTGTGAAGAGAAAGTGTTTAGGGAGCCCTGCTTACTCAGGCCACCTGGAAAGTATTTCCCTGGGATTCATGTGACCACGCTCAGCCATCCAGGTACTCTGAGCTGGCTGCAGCCATGGTCGAAAAGGACCCAGTTACTCCTTGATCAGATGGCAGACCCTGTGTCTTCCATGTGATGCTGGTTTTACTAGCATGCAGAACGCAAAAGTTATATGGTCATGGAGGCTTGGACTCAGATTTCTAAAGGAGGCCTTGGAGGCCTGGCCATGTGTGGCAGCACCAGGAGCTGTGTAGGCAGTTCCCAAGAGGCAGCATGAGAAGCCAGGAGGGTAAGGTTGAAGATTCAATGAGAACTCAGGGATACAGATGTCTGCCAAGGGAAGCTGCTGGGGAGCAGTGAGCAGAGCCAGCCTAAGGCTGAAGAGAGAGGCCATGTGAGCTGAAAACAGCAGGGCTTCCCAGCCCACTGGAGCTTACACCACACGCTCCAGATACTAGACATGGAGCTAAGGGATGTAGTGTTTGCCTTGCTTGGGTGTTGGTTTGTGTTGGTCCGAGCCTTACTATTTTTGTTCTTTCTTTTGGAACAGGAATGTTTATTCTGTGCTCTATCTTGGGAACATGTAAATTGGCTTCTGATTTTTTTTAAAAAAATATTTTGTTATTTTTATTTTATATGTATGAGTGTATCACCTGCATGTATGTGAGTGCACCCATGTCGTGCAATGCCACGGAGCTCAGAAGAGGGCTTTGGATTCCCCTGGAACTGGAGTTAAGGACGGTTTGTAGCCGCCATGTGGGTGCTGGGAATTGAACCCGGGTCTTCTGCAAGAGCAATCAGTTCTCTTAACTGCTGAGCCATCTCTCCAGGCCCAGCTTCTGATTTTTATAGGAGTGCACAGTTTTAAGAGTCTGCCTTTTATAAAATGCCAAAACTGTTAGGGCTAGGAGGATTCTGGGAGGTAGACTACATTTGCAGTATGAGATGAATATGAGCCTTTCTGGGTCAGGGAAGAATGTTATGGTTTGGAAATGAAGTACTCCCCACCAAAAGGGTCATGTGTTGAAGATTTGGTCCCAAATAGTGGTGCCATTTTAGGAGGTGATGGAAACCTGTCCCCACCCCTTCCTGTCTTTCTCCCTGCTTCCTGGCTACCATGAGGTGAACAGTCTGTGCCCCACGTTCCTACCACCTCATTACAGGTCCACACTGGGACAAGTATGGCCTGAACCCTCTGAAACTGTTGTTCTTCCTCCTCTGGTCACAGGGTCAGCTGACTATATACCTGCCAGCAGTCCCATGAGTCCCTGCCAACAGTACCTTGTTGGAGGCATCGATGAACTTGACACCTTTGTATGTGATGGACAGGATGATGGTGGGGATCTTCTTCATGTGCTCGGTGGACTTCTATAAGAAACATGGGGTGGGCCTGAGGATGTCCCTTCTCTGACTCCACACCCCTTCCCATGCTTTCACCATGTGGCAGGGCCCAGGTGGTTTTAAATGGCACTCCCACTTGTCACTTTCTGTCCTAGGCAGCCATCTCCCACCTACCCGCATTTTGGCACAGGCATCTTGTGTGGATTCTGTCCCTCGCAGATCTTTGATCAGCATGGAGCCCAGATACTGTGGGAATGAGCAGGGGCTGGGTTTAGGAACACCTGTGCCACCATGTGGGACGACCCAGTCAGTGTGGGACTGTCTACTGTTAGATGGTTACCTCCCCACCTACTGTTCTCCTGCCCCAGTTAGAGAGCTCTCTTTCCATTTTATTTTCAGGCTAGATCCACCAAGATGTTTCTGTTCCACCCCTTAGCTGCTGGGCAGGGTGCACAGTTAAGAGGCTGGGTCTTGGGCCTTGTGAAAAGCCTGAGGACCTGCTGCGACTCAGATTGCGGGGGAGAGGGGAGCAGATAAGAAGGGGCAGGGAGGGAGGCTGGCCATCTTGAGAGCAACTCACATTGGCCTCATAACCACAGGACTCAAAGATGAGTTTCTCGGGCTGGTGTTGCCAGCTCTGCACTGGAGCATAGGGGGCGGCCAGGCTGGGTGGGCGCAGGGTCAGCTTGGTCTCACTGGGTTCCTCCTGGAGAACACACACAGTTGGACACTGCTTACCTGCTCTAGGGGAGCTCACAAGCTCACCATCTGGCTCTAGCATACCCAAGGGTGGGGAAGCCAGTGACCTCGGTAAGGGTGGGCGTCAAGTGCAGAGAGCAGGGCAGACAAGCACCTGAAAAGCTCTGGGGCCGAGGAAAGTCCACACAACAGAGTGGGTGTTGGGGGAATAAGCTGTGGTACTGTTCAGCACAGAGAAAGTATGCTGAAGCTGTCGGAAGCAAGTCCCCAGCCTTCGCAGCTCCCGGGCAAGGGAGGCTTTTTTTTTTTTTTTTTTTTTTTTTTTTTTTGCTTTTTGTTTGAGACAGGGTCTCCCTGTAGCCCTAGCTGGCCTGGATTCGCTATGGAGACCAGGCTGGCCTCGAACTCACAGAGATCTGCCTGCCTCTGCCTCCTGAGTGCTGGGATTAAAGGTGTGTGCCACCACGCCTGGCCCAAGGGAGGCATTTTAACAGGGCCTCAGGAGAAGGAAGGGATGGACAGGAGGGAAAGGTCAGGAAATGTTTCAGACTTCTGTTCCTATCAAGTACAGCCTCCACAGAGAGCTGAAACTGCTTGGCACTGTTTTTTCAAATCAGCCTCCATGACCCTCAGGGTTGTGTGGTGGGAAGGAACGGGAATAAAGGAGGGAGATACCTAGAGACCAGCAGGAGCGGGGTGGGGGGTGTCAGAGAAGGCGGGCGCAAGGCATCAAGTCTCCCTGAGGGGACTGGATACCTGCCAGTCTGGAGTTGATCAAGATTAAATGCAGAGCTGCTGGGCAAGGTGGGAGGTCAGACAGGCAAGCACCAAGTAATGTGGGAACTGAGGGGGGGCCTTGAGAGGCTGAGCCTGGAGAGCAGGACGGTGGCATCATACCTGCCCAGGCGAGGCACAGAGCATGCAAGTGCCCACCACAAGGCCCAGAAAAGCAGCAGCAGTGCATGCTATGGGCCTGGCTGTGGTTCTTCCACAGTGCAGCTGGGGGCTGGAACAGCAAGGAGTTGAAATGCTGCAGAGGAATATGTTCTGGGGACGGGGTAAGAGAATGGAGGGGTGGAAGGCTTTGGGATGGACTGTGGGAATGAGCAGGGACCTGCAGGACTAGACAGAGGAAGAGCCCCAGAGCTGAACACAGGAGGGAGCAACATGTAGGCGGCAGAAAGTGGCCCCGACCAGTGAACTATTGCCAAAGTTTCTGGATGCTTGTCACCCTGTTATCCAGCCCCAGGTAGAGGAAAAAGAGAGCAGGCTGGGATGCATCCCAACACTGATGCCAGCACAGCTCCAGAAGGCTGACTCTCCTGCTTACCTGGACTCGGAAGCGCTCTGCTCGAGAGGGTGCTGCAAGATCATGCAGGCTGTCATGACGCCTCCTGCCTGTGTCTGCTGAAGGCAGCAGCAGGTCTGCCGACCGCCCTGTACATGAATCATTCTGGCTCAGCGGGGATGACGTCTGGGAGATTAAATCCTGGCACTGTTGGGTGAGAAACTGGTGAAACTCCCAGGCTGGGGTATCTACAGTTCTGGGGCCGACCAGGACGGTGCACAGGCCACAGCCACAGAAGAGGCAGGGAGCTAAGGATCAGCATATGAATGTCATGCAGGCCAGAAGCCTCTGAGGACAGGGGTGGCTGGGCCTTGCCTGGACTTCCCCAGAGCTAAGGAGCCTGGAAAACCCCATCCTGCAGGGGCCGGGACAACCCCATCCTGCAGGGGCCCACACAAGTGCAGTCCAGAGAGACCCAGTGTGGGCTATAGAGAGGAAAGAGTGAGAGGGTGGGAGCCACTTTCAATTTACCAAGGGTAAATCATGGCTACATCCCACCCCAGGTCTCTGGAGCGCACGTCTGAACCAGACCAGCCTCCGTGGCCCTCAGAGCTGAGGTATCCTATGTGGCCCCAGCCCTGGCCTTCCTCAGCTTCCTCACATGTGAGAGGAGAAACAGTTTACTATGAGGTTTCTGCCCAGCCAAAAGACAGCGCAGGGCCACATGTCACCACCATTACAATTTGGGAGAGCCAGTCCTGACCCTTGGCTCTGAGCTGGCCTGTTTTCTGAGTCAAGGACCTATTGGTTTGAGTAAGCCCTCAGCTGTGAGGTTTTTAAAGCAGGTCTGTACCCCTTCTGCCTTGTTGTTCTAAGGCAGGTACTGGGTGGGCCCAAGGGGTGTCTCTGGACTGGCTTGGGATGCCCAGCTTTGGGGCTCATGTAAAAGCATTAGAAGGGCCTCCTCACTAGCCAGGTGCAGGGCTGAAGCTAACCCTAGATGTGGCCCCAATTCGGAACTGGCTAACTTTCTGTCTATATTTAAAGTGGCTACAGGCCATCTCGAGCATCTTGGTATGAAACAAATGGGAGGCATCAAATTTATAAATGACCAACTGGAAACCTCTGTCTTGTGCTTGAGCCCAGCGAGAGGACCTATTCCATGAGTCACATTAGTGCTAAAACTGAAATATAAGATACATAAACTATAAAATATAAGCTTTACCCCACTCCAACTCACTCTCAGCTGGGAAAACCTTGGAGGCTTCTGGGGTGGCTCCTCGTATGGCCTGTCTGCAAGAGAGGCGATGATGCGCTTGCGGTGGCCCAGCAGGTGGACCTTCAAGACCTGGCAGAGAGGCAGAGGAGAGGTCAGTGGCACCCAGGCCCTCAGTCCCCCTGCCTGGCCCCCCGAAGCTGCACTCACGTTGACAAGCTCGAGCTCCCAGAGGTTCTTCACAGTGTCAATGGAGCTGTAGCCACTGGACAGGAAGGAGTGGACGTAGTCCTGTAGTCCCAGGGAGTCCAGCCAGGAGGGTACTGATGGGGGACTGGTCCCATCATAGCCTAGAGCTTTCACCTGTGGGGTGACAAGGCAGGAATGGCATCCAAGAGTCATAGGCCGAGGACTTGGGGACCAACGGGCACCCTCCCTTCTCACAGCTCTGCTCTGGGAGGCAGAGGCTGCCAGGTCTGGGGAAGATGGACTGAAATGTCCCAAGGGGACACTGGACATAGCACTAACAGTCAAGGGGTGGAGGCTTGGGCATACCAAGGAGGAGTCGGTGCTGTCTTTGCTGCCTGCTCCTCCCAGGCCTCTCTGGGGTCAAGATAAGTTAGCTTGAGCTCGAATGAGAATGAGTCAAAAGTGACCCCAAAGGGGGCTCTGGTGACAAGCCCAGGCTGTGGGACATGGGTCTGTGTCCCAAGGACCTTTAAAACGTCTTTGGTCAGCCAGACAAGGCACTCCTTGTCCCTGGCTCCAGAGTGGTCACCTTGGGCAGGGAGCGTGCAGCCTGAAGCAGCTTCCGCCGGTGCTGTGGGTCAGTGATGCCAATCTCCCGAAGGTCTTGCTCTTCCATCACATTAGATCCCTGAGAGCAGAGATGAGGATGTTAGGCCCTTCCTACACTGACGTCTGGTGGCCAGTCAGCTCAGGCTGCCATGACCCTACACTAAATTCTCTATTATAGCCACCAGGTGGAGGCATAGGACTGGGCCCCTGGACTGGCACTAGCCTAAGCTGTGGGCAAATCTGCCCAGACTCCCCACTGCCAGAGAGTGTGGGAACTGCGCAGACCAAGATAGGGGAAGGTGCTGCCCACTCTTCACCCCATCTGAGCAGAGGTGTATTTTCCTGAGAACCACCTATGGACCAAGCACCACACAGATATGACTTTGGAGGCCCTAACTAAACTTGAGTGGGCAGATGGTGCCAGTCTCACCATGTGAACCCACAGGGTAACGGCACTGTTCCTGTCGCCTAGCCGAGGGACCTGAGGTCCGATGCCCAGTTCTCTCTTCACAGCAAATTCTAGGCCATCCTTCCTGCTTGCTGTCCTCTGAGGATTCTTTGTGAGGCTGGCTGTGCCTATGCTCTCCACAGTGAGGAGACAAGCCTTCCTTCTGTGCCCAGTTGTACTTCCAACTCTCGTTCATCTTCTTACTTCCTAAGTGGTTTTGTTCATGCAAAAGACCCTTCTTTTTGTGCCTGAACGCACTCAGCTTCCCTTGCAGGGCATTTCAGTTTGTCGGGCTTAGGAAGGTCCCCCTGCTTAAATGCTCACATTTTCTTCCTGATGCCCTTGATGCAGCCTTATTTCTTGCCAGGCAGAAACTATTTCTTGAACGAACTGTCTTTCCCCTACCAACCTGGAATTACCTCCGTGGGTCTGAAACTGCTGTTTCTGGACTTTCTATTCTACTGAGGTGGGTATTCTGACTCCCACTTTTCACTTGGACATACTAAGTAATTTGGGCCAGTGCTCACCGACCATGACCTGATGGCCCCACCTCTAGCTGGGTAGACATGAGCGCCAGACATGGGAGTGTCTCCTGAGCCCAGGTGTGGGGGCAAACATTGTCCCACAGAGGATACCACCAGCTTTAGGCTTAAGGGAGTCCGGATGCCCAGAGCTCTGTATCCAGGCTCACCTGCAGAACGCATCCCTTATGGGGCCTGGGGCCAATTCCTAAGTCACTGCTAAGTCTGGACATCACCACAGTTCCTGCAGGATCTGCTGATAAGGAAAGGCAGAGAGAGGTGGCTGCCTAACGAGAATGCCCCTGTGTTGAGGACACCTAAATGAGGGCCTGAGCTGAAGCAACATGAACTTCCTGCATGCCCACAGACTTGCAGACCCATTCATTCCCTCTACTAGCTTTTAGGGAAACTCAAAAGCTGAGCTGAGCCCTGAACCAGGATGCTGTCTCTAACAACAGACACGAGGTGATCTCCCTGTACTCCCTTCTCTGGGTTATGAACAGGGCACTGCAGGAAGGAACATTTCAGACAGGAGAGGACAGAAGGAAGGGAAGGAGGAAGAGGAAGAGGGATACAATCCAGACAAATAAAGATCACTACTGGCTAAGATCAACTGCAGAATGCAAGTGAGACCCCAGGAGCAAGTTTCTCAAGGAGGGAAGGGAGGAGCTGACAGTGAGCTGCATCTTCCCATCACAGCCCGGATTGTGCCAGTGCTCCTCAAAAAGGCCCTATGGACATGGACAGACCGACAGACAGAGGGAGCCTCTACCCTGATGTGACCCATTGGTGGTGTCTCCAGACTATTTCTGCTGCTTCTCCTGTGCTCGCTGAGCCTTTCTTATCCCTTCCTCACACTGGAAAAACATTTTCCTGAGCAGAAAAGTTATAAAGGTTTATCACAGAACATTCTGAAGGTGAAGGAAGCACTGTGCATGCGCGAGTGCACACACACACATTTCTAGGTGAAGCCAGGTGTGGTGAACTAATTTGTTTTAAAAGGTAACGTGAGGGCTGGCAACTGGGTAAAGGTGCTTGCTGCCAAGACTGATGACCTGACTTTGATCTCTGGAATCTACAGGGTGGAATGAGAGAACTGACCCCTCCTACAAGTTGTCCCTGTGACTTCCATACACATGACCCCCATAAAATTAAAAAGTCTTAGGGTTTTGTTTTGTTTTTTGGTCTTTTTGAGACAGGGTCTCCCTGTAGCCCCAGCTGTCCTGGAACTCACTATGTAGACCAGGCTGGCCTTGAACTCACAGAGATCTGCCTGCCTCTGCCTCCCGAGTAAAAAAGTCTTAGTTTTAAAGAAGTAAACGTAAGGACCAGCAAGATGGCTCAGTGAGTAGAAAAGCCTGCTGCCAAGCCTGATGACCCGAGTTCAATCCCTAGGGCCCACATGATGGAAGGAGAGAATGAAGTCCTGAAAGTTGACACCCGTCCACATGTCCTCTTGTGTATGCTAAATAAATATAACAACAACAACAACAATAAAGGAAAGCCAAGTGCAGTGACTCTTGCCTGAAACCCAGCACCTGGGAGGGTGAGATGAGAGGAGAGCTGTGAGTTTGAGATCAGCCTGGGCTACAGAGTGTGGTCCAGGTCAGACTGGGTTAGACTGAGACCTGTCTCACATGAACTAGGCATGGTGGTACACACCTGTAATCCTGGCACTTGGGAAGCAGAAGCAGGGAAATCAGGCCAGCCTGGATTACTTTTACTCTTTCAAGTGTTTTAGCTCATTGGGACTGAAGTGTACATGTGTGCACGGTTGTTTGAGCTGCTTTTCTCACAGGCTGGTACAAGCATGCAGACACTTCCCAACAAGAGTGCACACAAAGTTGGGTGTGGTGGCAAATGCCTTTAATCCCAGCACTTGGGAGGCAGAAACTGTCTATATAGTGAGTTCCAGGCTAGCCAAGTCTACACTTGAGACCATATCTCAAAACAACAAAACACAAACAAAAGTACACACAACCCAGCCTGTCCTTAGGCTGCGGGGGGTCACACAGCTTCTGCTCCTCCCACTCTCTGACCCCAGGGAGGCGCTTGATGTTCTGTTCCTCCAAGCCATACATCCATCCTAACCTGCTGTCTACTACCCTGAAACATGCTTCCCTTTGGTCTCTGCTGAGGCCGAACTGTTGTATTTGGCCCCAGATCTGCAGTGTAGGTTGCTGGACCCCAGTCCGTCTGGGGTCAGAGGGCTTGGTTCTAAGATTTGGCGAAGGAGCTGTCTCCTGCAGACAGCCTCCACTGTCCTGCTCTGTCCTAGAGAAGCGTGTTGCCTCTCAGCCACACCGAACAGTCTCAGTAAGGCCTGGTCTCTAGCATGCTCCCTTCAGAGGTTATGTAAGTGCACGGGAACACGGACACTGGTCTATGAAATCCCACTAGCAGAATGAGGCAGGCAGAGCACCTGTCCAAAGCTGCCCAGGAAAGAATCTAGGGAGCCTTGGTCTCCACATCCCTGAGTTTTTGCCACTAAGTAAATCTGTGAATTTTCTCCCAAGCCTTCCCTACTTCATAAACTGTGACCTCAGCCTGGCACTCCCTGTGCAGGTAGCACGAGCATCTGGCACCACAGGCCAGGCTGCATAGGCCCAGAGGCTGAAGAGTGAGGCCTCAGCTGGGACACTTGGCCAGGGCACAGAGCTTGCTGGGGACTGACTTCTTGCAGCCCCTTCCTCAGCCTTTTGGAGAATGGATTCTATTCCAGGACAGGTGGGTAGAACATTGACCCTAAGCGCCCCTGGGAGCAACACACCCTTCATCCATCCGGATGAGCCCTAGCTCAGGCGCCAGCTTTGCCAGGCACACTGAGCACCGAGGGCAGAGGCAGCAACTCCCTGTGAAATACAAGGACTAGATCAAGAGGCAGGGCAGCACCCTGAACAAGCACACGGCCAAGCAGGCGAGGTGCACACTCTAGGAGTAAGCCCTTTGTCTGCAGGGAAGGACTGTCAAGTCCAAGGTGGGGCCTGGTGAGCCTGGGAAGGCCCCCAGGTATCATCAGTGCCTTGGGCACCCGAGAGGTTTAGCGCTCAGGTGACAAGGTTGAGGAAGCCTGGGAGGCAGGACACATGCTTCTCTGGGAACACTCCTTCCCAAGTCCACCAGTCTTCCTGCTCTGGGCCCTCCTTCAGATGGACAGAGAAAATCCCAGCACAGCAGCTGGCTCACAGAATGCTGCGCAGAGATGGGAGGCTGAGGCTGGAAGCCCTGCTCAGGCTGGAAGGAAGCCCTGCTCAGGCTGGAAGGAAGCCCTGCTCAGGCTACAGTGGCCCCTTGGACCAGCGACAAAGGGAAGGGCATAGGAGGAGAAGGGGAGGGGAGAGCATGGGGTCAGGGCAGGAAACCTGGGTTCAAACAGTGTGGCTTGAGGGGTTAAGGGGAACAAATACCAGGGGACAGCTTAGGAGCTTGAGGACTTGGTCTGAAGTCTGATGGAAGCTAATAAAGAAGCCTCTTAGCCCAGCTGTGCTAAAAATTAGCTCACCCTGATTCTCCCATCAGCCTTTTCCAGGATGGAGACCAGCAGACCCAAAGCACACAGGAGCACAGCAGGAGCCAGACGGCCATGTGGGAGAGACCCACGGAGAAAGAAATCGAAGGGAGGAAGGGGAGGCCTCCCAAGCGCTGGTAAGAAGTGTGATCAAGTATGTTTCTAACCAATTAGGAGCCACTTTCCCATATCCATCTTCAACCATACCCTCAAGGCCAGGAGCACATGCTCAGGCTTTCTGCCTGGTGAAGGTGACAGGACACTGGGCCCCAGGACCATGGGGCTCATCACACGGCTTGGGGCCAGCCTACCCCTTCTGCCTTCCAAGCCCGTCTTCCACGGCACTCAAGCCAGTTTCCTGCGGCAGTTTCATGTGCTTCGTCTCCGCCACTGGCACCTGCTCTTCTCATTTCCCCTCCATTCACAGCAGAAAACGGAGATGCCCTATTCTGCCCCCAAAGGAAAAATGAAGCTGCCCAGAGACCAGCACCAGGACATCTGGCTCCCCACTTCACCTCCCATGCGCAGAGGTTTCCTCTGTGAATCAGCAAGATCATGAATTTCTGTGTCTCAAATTCTCCACCCAACATCACAAATGTGAGCCTTTCCACACATGAGGTCTTTCAAGACATGTCTTTTAACACCTGCCAAGGCCTCTGGGCCTCAGGATCACCGTTTTTTATGCCATCAAAACTTTCATACGGTGGTCAGACTGACACCGGCATACTTGGAGCAGCATGTACAACAACCATCGATGACTTCCTGCTGCTCTGACCCAATGCATTTCTCCCTACTTCTAGGAAAGACTGTTTCCTGTGGCAAAGTTGAAGCAGCTGTGGAGGTGTAGGCCAGTGTGAAGGCTAGCCGGAAGGGAAGCCATGCACTCTCGCCTGTCTTCCAGGCTTGGGCTGGCCCCATCAGCACAGGGAGCTTGTAGCAGTCCCTGTGGCCCCGCTTGACTCCTCCATAGCAAAGGCCCTTTCTGCCTGCAGGCAGTATGGATGAAGTTCAAGCTGCAAGGCTCACTCAATGACTTGATGAGACCCATCATAATGTCCAGGAGTACTGAGGCCACACAGCACAGTTTTCAATTTCTAAAGCTTAAGTGTGTTCTGTGTGGCCACAAAGCTGAACCTGAGGACAGCAGCAAAAGGCACAAGGAAGCAGGCTCTGACTCTGAGCCCCAAGGCAGTCAGAGAAACGTGGTCAGTGGCTGGTGCTACTCGGCCATGCCCTCAGTCCAGTCCTCTGTCACTAGAAAAACAGGACAGAGATGATGTGGAAGGGGTTTTGGCATGGCGAGGACAGTCACATCACATGACAGACGCTCACAAGTGCCCTGACACAGAATTTCATGGCAGCACCTTGTCTGTGAACATGTGTCTAGATGCTCCCACTACAACTGGATCTGGGCTACAGGAGCTACTTTGCATCTGGTAGCATCCCCAGGGAATCTGAACCAGGAGAAACATTCAGTTTACTGCAAACCAAACTGCATGTGACAGATCAGGATGGACACGATGATGGAAATCACACTTCATGTGATGAAGGAGTAAGCGGTTCAGGAACAAAAATGCTTCCTTTTGGATCTCTGCCCTCCCGCCTTTGCTAAAACTTAATTAGCCTTAAGGCCCATCAGGCAGTTTACGTGTATCCAGGATGCTGTTGGCCATGGGACTAAAGGCCTGTGCCACCACACCCAGCAGAGGGTCTTTCTAGTACAGGAAAAGGCACATTCTGGTTGAGGCTCTACACTTTGCATGGACTCCTGGTTCAGGGCCCAATGGCATGTATCTGCTCTGTGGGCTGGGGCCCAGGCAGAACCCAAGGCCCAGGAAGCTCAACCCTTTCCAAAGCTAGTACAGGTGTACTATGAACCCATGAATTCAGCCTCTGAAGCATGAGACTGTACAGAGGGGCCTAAAATCCATGACCACCCTTGCTTGCTTACCTGCTAGCAAGACTCGCAAAGGGGGTGCTTAGAGGGTAGATCCTACAATCCCAGAGCCAAGGACCTACCATCCCTGCCCAGTGACAGAGCCCAACTCTTTCCCAGTTCATGGTTATTCTTTAAGCAAAATGGTGAGTGAGGAGCAAGGTCACAGGAACCACAGATACACCCAGTTTAACTTTCAGAAAGAAGGAAAAATAAACTGCTATTCTAAAACTGGAGACTTCTAAAATCTAAAAAAAGAACTGTCCCAAAGCTGACTGTGAGAGTGGCTTGTTACAGACTTGTCGTGGGGACAGAGATGGGTTAGGTGAGGTAGAAACCCTCCACTGGGTTTCCTCCTGGAAGCCACAGGCAGGCTCCCTCAAAAACATCAAACCCTATGCCGTCAGAGTTACCTACAGTGGCCCCACTGAGCGGAGGGCAGGCTGCGGCTCTGGACGTGGCTCCTCGAAGGAGGCACAGGGCACATGGACACAGGTGAGAGAGCTTTGCTTTGGGGGAGTGACCTGCACTGTCTAGGGCTAGGAGAGCAGGAGACAGGCCTCCCAAAAGTGGGAGGAACTGGGCAGCGGAGTTTGCTAGCTTATCAAGATGACTCATGTCAGCAAATAAATTACACTCACACCCCCCAAAAGAGGAGGCTGGGAGACACAGCGGTCAGCATCACATACCCTCTCACCCTGTAACTCCAAAGTGCATGTTTCCACTCAGCCAGGTACTGGCAGGGCAACCCTGAGCAAATCCCATAACCTCTGCACCTTGGTGCCTGCACTAGGGGAAGAGACATCAGCACACTCCCAAGGCTGCTGGGAAGTCACAAAGTTCACCACGAGGATGGCTGGGCCTGGAGCCTGGCCTGTAGCAAGCACAGCATCAGCTGTCATGGCGATTGCTGTGATGTCACGGGCCTGCTCCTGCGCATGTCCTGCCTGACCTACAAGGACACCCTGGGCAGGGCTTCCGGGAGACAGACGGCATTAGGAACCCTGCTGGGACCCTTCAGAGGGACCACTGTGAGTTCCTAAGCCCAGAGCCAAGTCAAGTCCCTACTCCCCAGAGAGCAGAGGAGATGCCCTGGCTTTTCCTCTGACCTCTTGTGTTCTCTATGAGTGAAAAATGCACTTCAGAAAAGCAACCAAACCAATACTCGGCCTGTCCCTGGCCTCCACCTCACTCAGCTTCAGTGACAACAGTGAAGTTTGGGAAATGGAGCTGTCCTGTCCACCAGAGTTGCTGGTGACCGGCTCCATGCACTGGCCAGGATGCTGACACCATTCAATATGTGGCCTGAGACAGAAGCAAAGTCAGGGCAAGGGTCTGAGTGATGGACCCCTTAAGAGTGCTCTACATGGAACAGCATCTGGGCCAGAGGTGGCGGGAGACAACTGTGTGGAAAGACAGCACCAGCACTCAGCTAACTGACCACTGTCCATACCTGTTTGTTCCTCTCGAGGGTGAGGGAGTACATACTGTTTCAAACTCCAGCAGAGCCAGTGGGGGCAGGAAGGCCCGTTTCTACCAGGTACCAACAGCACTGCCCACCAAGGTAGCCGGTAGGCACTTACCAGGAAGCGGACATCATCAAAGCCATTCAGCAGCAACTTGCTCTCATACTGCTGCAGTCCGATCGACTCCAGCCACTCCCCGACGCTCTGCTCCAGCGTCCGTGAACCTGACGAGAGAGGAATCGGCAGACGCTTGAAAAGGGAAAACCCATTAAGGCGGTAGCAGCGGCACTCAGAGGAAGACAGATGGCACTGCCACATCATCGTCATTACCATAAAGCAGCCAGACTATGTACAAGAGACCAGAGAGAGTGGGCACGAAGCTCCTCTTCTCTACAAGGACAAGGGCTGGGCTGCCTGGCACTGTGCACAACCCAACCTTGGGTGGCTGCTGCCTGCTCACACCACACGGGCTGAGCTGTCCAGGGCCTTGGCCACACATGCACGGTCTTGCCCCTGGGTCGGGTCAGGAGCGCCAACCCCCAATTGTCTCCAGATCAACTCCTCGTGTGTCCGCACGGAGGCGTGGCAGTCTGTCCGCACAGGCACTAGAGGGGGCTGAAGGAGCTCCTAAGTGCACACCAGCCTCTCATCCACGCAACTTCGGGAGCCGCTGTGGGGCTGTGGTGAGGGACTAGTTCTGCGACCTTGCAGCATAAACCGGTCACACATCTTCATGCAGCTGAGGGGCACAGGCACACAGCGAGGGCTCTGGGAAGGAAGCAGCGATGGTTGTTCACAGGGACCCAGCACATGCAACACAAGCAGCACAAAATACGGCAGGGTGAGAAAAGGGACTTTTACTTGTTTTCCCCCAGCAGTCCTGGAATAAGCAAACCATGGCCCTAGCACTTTGCAATCAGAGGCTCAGGGAGACCAGGAGCTGAGTAGGGTGGGCAGGCTAGGGTGCGGAGACCAGGCTCAGGTATGGCTCTGCTGGGTTGGTGGCATAGTGTTCTGTCGGGCTGTGTGGCCAGTAGGCCAAGGCCCATCCACGGCTACCCTCTGGTGGCTGGCAAGCAGGGTGCCTCTGGGGCCTGGGCACTGTCTGAGGAGCTGCCTTCCTGGGCCAGGCTGGCTTTCAGGGGCTGGGCGTTCATTATCTTTTTCTTCAGCGGCTGTTCCTGTGACTTGCCTGCTTGCTCAGGTGGAAAGCAGTCAGGCTGATTCAGTTCTTGACTAAAGATGACAAACCTCAACCAAATGAAGGAGTGACACGGTCGTCCATCACTCCGTGGCAGCTTGTCTTTTCAGGCTCCGTACTGCTCTCTCCCAGTGACACAACAGCTGTCTTCCCAGGGTCTCCGGTCTCCTCTAGAGATGAGCAGACTGTGCTCCAAGGTTAGGACACGGCTGTGGCAGTGCAGGGAAGACAAAAGTTCAGCTCTTCCTGGCAGCCCTCAAGATGTTGAGCTGGAGGCCTTCACACCCCACCTACTTCTTTGGTTCTTGTGGCAAGAACAGGTAAAAGGCAAAAAGGAGCAGGGCAGGGAAAGAGGTACAAGGAAGGGAGAAGAAGAACTGACTAGGAGAGCATCACCTCCCAGGAACTCTCAGCACGGTGAAAGTCATTCTGCTACTCCCGCTGCTCTCTGCCCTTCAAAGCAGGACAAAGCCAACTTGCTTATCGAGGACCCTGCTGACCAACTGGGCAGCCTCCACCCCTCTTTCCTGTCCTCTGCAGAAGAGACGGTGGGCAGGGACCAGTGGTCTCTGGATGCAAGCTGCAGCAGCACTCCAAGATGCCGAGTCTGGGGGCTCCCGGACTTGCCCTTGAATGGGGAAGTCAGCTCCAGGAGCCTACGCAGCAGGCTCTGCTTGAATGCCCATGAGGTTGTGTGGTCCCGGCTGCTGATTCATTCCTGCTTGTAATCCTCAGGCAGGGCAGCTGTGGTCCTGCCTGCCTCTGCTGGATGTGTGCGCTTACAGAGCCGCAGCAGAATGCTTTGTCTAGAGGCTCCTGGGCTCCACGCTGCCGGCTCCACAGTCCTTGCTCACTCTCATGTCTGGCCCTCCCCTTCCTCCCCTCCCGCCCTTCCCCCTTCCATGCTCAGGAAAATACATCAGGGATCGGACATCAGAGCAGAGCAGTAGCTGCTGCTGCTGGGGGAGAGCCAGTGCAAGACGACAGGTTCCAGGGCATGATGCCGGAGATGCAGATGCAGTCACTGAGGAGGGGACCGAAGCTTCACCTCCAGCTCAGGGGGCTGGAAACTGTTTACAGAGGAACAGAGAGGGATCAGGCCTGTAGCTTGGGCCGATAGTTTCCAGGACGGCTAGGGAAGGGGACTGAGGGGTGACAGAGCCCACAAGTAAATGACCCTCCAACTTGCCACTTCAGGAAGGACTGTCCTCATCACGAAAGTAGGTAGCAAAATAGGGTTGCTGCAACTGCTGCTCTTCAGGTGAGTACACCATGCAGTGTGCGGACAGAGTCCTTTCCTGGCCTGATAGAGTTCGGAGAAGCTCCATACCCAAAGCACAACATCCATCAAGGGAAAGGAATGACCAAGGCCAAGGGAAGACCTGGACCAACTGCTGAGTACAGTTGGGAGGGATAAGAAAGGTCACAGGTGTTCTGGGACCACATGTCACTCTAAATACACCGGGAGGCACCTGCATCCCAACAGACCATAGAAAGACATTGGCAAAAAAGGGCTCTGTGTCTAGAGACGAGGTCCCAGGAGCCTGCACTCGGTAGCTGCTCAGGGAGTAGTAAACAGTGAAGTGGGTGGCACAGCCAAAGAAAACCAGGCTAGGCCTTTGCCAAAAGAAGCCAGAGTGGTCTGGGTGGGTAGAAGGCATACCTGCCCAGGGGGTGACTGAGACTTGAGTCAGGAGTGAGACCTGTTGGAGATTTGGGTAGCTAGCTCCAAGAGTGGGCAGCCCAGAAGACTCTGGGAACCCCAACAAGGCTGTGACTCCAGTGCTGTGGTCCTGGCTTTCAGGGGACAACCCTGTGCAAGGATGGCCACTATGAGCAGCTGCTTGCTTGGTTTGCAACTGCTGGTGGAGCGTGAGCTTCCTGCCAAGCTGCCAATGCCACAACCCAGTTCTCTTCTCCCTGATCCTGAGTCTCAAAGACAACCCAGCCCTGATGCACTTGGATACTGACCAATCAAAATGCACAGTGATTCCGCTTTGGCTGGGCCAGCCTCTTCAGGCTTCCTGGCTAGGCAGCAGGCAGACCCCACACTGGGGCTCTCTCTGCAGCACAGCACCTGTCTGGGCTGTGGCTTGCCCTGGGCTGCCATACGGAGGGTGGCTCAGCAAAGTGGGCATGTAAACAAAATTGGGTGTTGGGGTCCAGACACTTCAGGGTACTGGGAACCTCTTGCCATTCCCATGGGTAAGAAAGAGGACAAGGAAGTGCTCAGCACAAACCCCTCAAGGGTAAGGCTCTTCCCAAGGAATCCACCTGGATCCCAGAGCAGAGGTTGCTTGCTCAGAGTCCTCAGCACATGCTGGTGTTTTCAGCTCCTGATTCTAAGACATAGGTCTGGGAGAGCTGAAGGTGGCCTGAGCTGAACCCAGTGTTCTTGGTCCCAGCCCCACGCATCCCCAAAGCACAGGTTTGAAAGTAGCACCCAACCCCTGAAAATGCCTGTGTGCTCGGGGAGAGCAGGCAGAGGCTGGGCAGAGTAAAAGCCATGGCCTTGAGAAGGAGGTGCGAGCCCTCAGCCAGAAGAGCAAACTCTGCTGACTCCAGTGTGATCAGAAACGGACTAAGACCAACCTGGCTCAGCCCACAGGGTGGCTGTGAAGAAGGCGGCTCCAGGAGCCAAGGCTGAATGCGGGGCCCAAGCTCTACACTCTGGGCTTCTCAGGTTAAGAACTGAGTTCAAGGACACGGGCATGTACTCTGCACTGGCTTCCTTTTGCACAGGCACTTGTGTATGGCACTCAATGATTCCGATACTAGGAGGTAAGTACTATCATCAAGTGGTGTAGATGGGCACCTAGAGCTCTGGTGGAGGAAACTTACTCTAATGCATGTATTTAGGGCTTTGTGGCCCCAAAGCCTAGCTCTGCCCAGCAAAGCTCACAGCCTCAGCAGCTCCTTCTGCCGATGCCTACCACAGAGGCCCCTTGACTTGGAGGTGCCACATGGGAGGCTGCTGAACTAATCTTGGAGGGTGCAAGGAACTACACCCTTAGACCGGTGACATGCTCATCAGAAGGGGCAGCTGGGCTTCGTGGCCCTGGGAACATTGTGGAATGGAGGGGTGCAGGGGCTGTGAGCACTGATTCTGACAGGCACTTCAAAGACATTTCCCCAGAGAAAGAAACCTGGCATGCTGCTTCCGGGTCCCACTTCACAAAACAGAGGCAAATCTCAGCTCAAAGGCTTAGATAAAAAGAATGACCAAAGTAGGAGTGTCCAGGTGAGGAGGGCAGGTGACTGAGAAGGCTGGGAAGCAGAGAGACAGACAAGCCCCCAGCAGATGCCAATCTGTGCCAACTCTATGAGACCACCTGTCTGGACTCACACTGCCACTGCAGCAGAGGCAGCAGCCATGTCCTCATGACAGCCAGTATTAGAGCCACCAGAGGTCTGGGGACCCATACGGCAGTGCACTCTAGTTTGGGCCAATCTGCGAAAGCCCAAGGTCATAAAAACAATGAATGACATGCCAACTGTTCAATTCTACAACTTCTTTTCCTTAATAAGCAGCCTCAAATTCAAATCGTATACTTCCCTTCAATATGGAGTTCTCTAAAAATAACAACTCTGTGGCAGATCAGAGCAGGACACAGTCTAGGATGTTCCCTTCTCCCCCAAATGCTTGTCTTGGATCAGCGGGAAATCTGAGCCGGCAGGTGTCAGAAACCCATGTTGTAGAAGTGGGTACTTAGTACAGTACCTGAGATCTTCTGCTGTTCCTGAGAAAAGTCAATCCCTTCTCCAATGGAACTCATGATTTTCTCAATCTGAAATGGAAGGAAGAGAGGACAGGGGTCAACGTGGGGTCGTTAGCACTGCCAGCTCAAGGTCAGTGCCACCTGGCTGTCCTCCCAGAGTCCCTGAGTCTAGAAAAGACTGTTTCCCAGCTGCCCTGGAGGGTGGGGAAAGTTACTCTGCAGGCAGTGAGAGGACGATGGCAGGGGACCAGCTCAAAGAGCTCCCCTTTCCAGGCCCCGGCGCCTTGCTCTGTCCTGTTTCACTGTTCACACTAGACTTTAGGGTCCCTGAGAGTACGCTGTGCCAGCTTGGTTTCATGTGAGCCCAAGTGCCTAGAGGTGGGCCTGGCAGATTGTGCCCACAGTACAGATAAATGGTATGTGACTGCCATCGCTGTGGATGTTTAGAGTGGAGGCAATCAGACCCAAATACAGGAACCTCCTAGAGGCCCGGGGAGGCAGGCACATAACCTGGATGTAGCCCAGGATGGAGCACTGCACTCCTCACGGGGAAAAGGCTGACACTACCCTTCCTTTGGAGCACAGCAGGGGCAGCCAGCCTCAAGGCATCCAAATAGTCCCAGCACGGCCGCCGCTGATACAGACCAGCTGTCCCAGCCACCTGGCTTTGGTTATGGAGCTACATCCAAGCTCTGCAGACCAGGGGCTGTGGCCAGGGGACAGGTCCAGACAGTCAGGCAAAGCTCTTTCGCCTCCTTTCTGGGGCTGCGGTGATAATGAGCTCATTCCCGGCCTCTTCCAAAGCTGTGAAAGAGGACCTTTTGTACCAGGACTTGGATGCTTTTCCCCTAAGTGCAAGTAAGGAGCCTGAGTCTGACAATCAGGAAAACAACTCAGCCGGACTCCAGCTGGCAGACAGGAAGCCCAGCTGACACCCAGCAGAAGCACAAAGAGCAAGGGCCACCTCTCTCCTGCAGCCAGTTCAGCAGACTCCTCCAGCTGCAGAAATGACCCAGGCTCTCCCTTCCAGAGTTTAAGGCACAGGGAAACACAACAGATGTGACCCCTGGAGCAGACTGGGTGGGGGAGTTGTCTTTGTTTGAGGTGGCCCCAGAGCAGGTCTGCATTGCCCCCTAGAGCAAACAGCACCCCCCAAAGCACCCCACACTTTCTTTGGCCCTGGCCATTTTAGGTGTGTAGCACAAGAGGATACCCAGACAGGCAGGGGAGCGTGTCTACCTCTGAAGCCTGGGATGTCAATGTGTGGAAATGGCCAGGCACGCCTCCCATGCAGGGCTGTGGACTGGAAGATACCACGTTCATAGAGTACCTAGTGGATGGCCTGGCTCACAGCAGATGCACAATATAACATGAGGTTGCTCCCTACACTCTTTTGTGTCCTCTGAGGACTCCAGCCTAGTAAACCCAATTTTGAAGCTTAAAAAAATATTCTGCATTAAAATTCTTCATATACTTAGCAAAAGATTATTCAGGAAACAGGCCCTCCCACTCCCTTCCCATTGTCATGTTCTCACAATCCCCCAGAGTTCCTCTCCTCAGGTAGGGGCAGACGGGGACAGACCAACTCCTCCACCCTGACGGGCTTTCCACACAGGCAGCTCCATACCTTTTTCCATACCTTTTCCATTTTACAGTCATGAACATCCAAGGGATGAGCCACGATGGCAGATACAGCTCTAGAGCATTTAACCAGTTTCCTAGTGAACCTACTGGTGTTTTCTTATCTGTTCCCATGGACAGTGCTTCAATGAGTTGATTCCAAAGGTCTCTTTGTATGTATTTGCAAACAGATGGATGGGGCCATTCTTGTGTGCCTCCTGAGGGCCACTAAGCACCACATTCCAGGAGCTGGCAGCACAGGCTGGGGAGATGGCCCAGTGGGTGAAGTGCTTGCTGTGCATAGTCGAGGACCCGAGTCCAGATCCCCAGAACCCACAGAGCCAGATGTGGGAGTGTAGGTGTATAACCTCCACACTCCAACTGTGAGATGGGAGGTAGAATCAGGAGAGTCTCCAGAAGCTTGTGGACTAGCTAGCCTGGAGCACCCAGTGACAAACAAGAGACCCAGCCTCAAACAAGGCAGAAGGTGAGGACTGACATCCAAGGTTGTCCTCTGACCTCCACATGTGCTGTGGCATGTGAGTGCCTGCGCTTATACATATGAACACGTGCACGTGTGTATACATAAAGAGCCAGCAGCAGATAACAGGATCCCTTCTGTTCTGTGACCAGTTTTGCTAAAGGTCTTCCAGAAACAGGGTGCCTACCAACACGTGGCACCTCACTCCACCTGCAGAAAGTGCTGCACGTTTTCGTAGAACTTCAACACAGGGGTGCCTGGTTCCTCTCAGATCACTCCACCTCTTCTGAAGAAGCTCTTCTTCCTGAGCTACCCAGTCCAGCCCACAATGAAGGTTGCCTTGGGGCCAGTTCTCAAAGCCTGGGTTGCTTGATCCAATTGCAGAAGCCTCGAAGCTGAGCCAATAAATACCTGCTCCTTTGTCCTCTTCCTGGTCTAGAACATTTACAGGACAGAAGTGGAGGGCTCGGGGTTTGCAAAGGGACTGCTGGGGGTGCAGGTTTTTGAAGTGGAGCCAGCAGTCTTTCAGCTCTTCTCTAAGCCAGCGAGAGGAGGGAGAATCCCTATGCAGGCTCTGAGGGTGGAGTCAAGTGCATTTCACCACCATCCCAGGCCTGGCACATATCAACAAGCATCACATGAATGAATGAGTGCTTCCCGTTTGCACAGACCCAGCAGTGTAAAAGCTGTTTCCCAGAGCTGTCCATGGAGGATGCTCTGAAGCAGATGGTGGCTCTGAAGCATCCTCAGGAGCACCATCAAGCTGCTCACACTGTGCACCGCAGTTATCACGATTACCGGATGGCCAAAGCCCCCACACCTGTATCAGCATCCTTCCTTGACAACTCATTTGGACCTGAAAGCGGCTCCACTGTCCTACTCATTCTTGCTTGTCTCCAGAACCATCTGCACATCCCTAAGGAGGCCAGCACAAGCCTAGATTTCCACAGCCTACCCCTCGTGTCTATGTAAGGGACTCCAGCTGGTAAATGCTAGTGGGCATTGCCAGGAGGTTCTACCCCAACTTGGATGTTTCACTGTTCTATGAGAGTCTAGTGTGCCAAGGAACTAAGGGTATTCATCAGTCTTGTGGTACCTGGGGGTCTAGGATGACTTCCCTGGCAACAGGAAACTGCAGGTGGTATCCAGAAGCCGGAAAGAGGTTCTGCAGCCCTCAGCCCATGCTGTGGAGTCACGGGGCTGAAGCTCTCCTTCTTAACACAGAAGCAACAGAGAGACACTCTAGTGTGCAAAGCAGAGCGAGTGGCCGGCAGACACCACTCCCATTTGCACAGGGCAATTTAATCACAAAGGGTGAATGGAGAAATGTCTTATTAGATTGCCTTCCCGGAAGTCTGCTCTCAAGGGAAGAGGAGCAAGAGAGGAAGGCACTGTTTTCTCTTCTCTCTGCTGCTTGGATAAGTGACATTTTTTAGAGAAATGCTGTACTGCTCATGAGCTACAATAGAAAATGTGTATTTGTGCTGGGCGTGGTAGCACATGCCTTTAATCCCAGCACTCAGGTGGCAGAGGCAGGCGGATCTCTGTGAGATCGAGAAGCCTAGTTTACACATAGTGAGTTCTAGGCCAGCTGGGGCTACAGACAGACCCTGTCTCAAAAAGATAAAAAAAAAGTATATTTGTGTTGGTTAAGAGAAGCCCTCATGAGGGGGGCTAGAGCGATGGCTCAGCAGTTAAGAGCACTGGTTGTTCTTGCAGAAGACCTGGGTTCGAATCCCAGCACCCACACGGCAGCTAACAATTGTCCATAACTCCAGTTCCAGGGGATCCAATGGCCTCTTCTGTCCTCCATGGGCAATGCATGATGTGGGTGCACTTACCTACATGCAAGCAATACACGCATACACATAAAATAATAATTAAAAAAAGAAAGAAAGAAAGAAAAGTCCGAGGGCTGGAGAGATGGCTCAGTGGTTAAGAGCACTGGCTGCTCTTGCAGAGGACCCGCGTTCAAATCCCAGCACCCACAAGGTGGCTAACAACCGTCTGTAACTCCAGTTCCAGGGGATTTGACACCCTTTTCTGACCTCCAAAGGCACTGCATGAGACAAGTGCATTCACATACATGCAGGCAATATACTCATACACATAAAATTAAAATAATAAAATTTTTCAAAAAAGATTTAAGAAAAGGTGCTGAGAGTTATCATAATGGATTCTTGTGTGGAAATGTTCCATTCTTGGCAAGTATTCAGGATGCTTCTGTCCAGACAGTTATCCTGCTCCCCATATGGCTGAACATAAATGCAAAACACACACTGGTGATACCACTGATATCTCAGAGCCCCTGGGACCCTGATGTCCACAGCTAGCCATAGGAGGTGGGCCCAACCACCACCACCCAACCACCGGGATGACGCTGTGCTTTTCAAAGGAACGCTGGGATTAGAAGTACTCCCCCCCCCGCCCCACCCAGGTTCCAATGAGTTATATGCATGCCAGGGAAGTATGAGAGGCACAAGCAGTCCCCAAGCACCCTGGAGGAATACAAGCATCAGTGCACAGCCAAGTGTCAGTACACCTTGCTCCCAGGCCTCGTGGGGAACTTCCCTTGGTGTGTCCAGGGGCTTCCACTTGGGACCAAGCTTTCAGGACAACAGTCATAGTCACAGTCTACATGTCTGGAAGTTGGGGTCCCATGGGGAGGAAGAAGGGGGAGGGATTGTTCTACTTTTCTTTGTGCAAATACTCCAGGTGATGCTTGTATAGAACAGCTTGGTCAGCTCCTGACATCCCCTAGCCCCTTCTGCTGCCCTGGGGAGCTGTCCCCATGTGCCCAGGGCTTCGCAGCCAGCTGGAAAAGTACACAGCCCTGTTCTCGGCTGTCCCACGAAGTGAAGACGCCCTCCTCTCTTCCTCCACCCCAGAGTTATTATCTTACTGACCCAGAAGCACTGCTTTGAGCTGTTGCTTTGATTGTTTCAATGTTACATCTCAGAGATGCCAA